GGGGGTGCTGAGCCCCCTTCCCAGTATAAACCAGTACAGACCAGTATAAACCAGTATAGACCAGTACAAACCAGCAACCCCCGGAGCCTCATGAATGCCCTCCCAGTATAAACCAGTATAAACCAGTAAGGCTCTGGGAGACCCTGTGGGGAGGGGATTTTGGGGGGGGATTTTGGGGGGATTTTGAGGGGGATTTTGGGGGGATTTTGAGTGGATTTTGAGTGGATTTTGAGGTGGATTTTTGAGGGGATTTTTGGGGGATTTTGAGGAAAATTTTGGGGATTTAAGGATTGGGATTTTGGGGATTTTGGGGATTTTAGACCTTGGGGACTTTGGGGGATTTTGAGGGATTTGGAGAGACTTTGAGGATTTGGGGTGATTTGAGGATCTTGGGGACTTTGAGGACTCTGAGTGACTTTGGGGATGACTTTAAATGATTTGAGGGGACTTTGGGGATTTGAGGACTTTGGAGGGATTTGAGGATCTTGGGTGATTTTGAGGATCTTGGGGATTTTGGGGGATTTTGGGGATGATTTTAAAGGATCTGAGGGCATTTTGAGGTGATTTGAGGACTTTGTGGGGACTTTGAGGGACTTTGGGGGATTTGGGGATTTGGGGAGGATTTTGGGGGATTTGAGGATTTTGAGGTGATTTGAGGATTTTGGGGGATTTTGAGGGGATTTTGGGGATTTGGGGGATTTTGGGAGGATTTTGGGGATTTGGGGAATTTTGGGGAATTTTGGGGGATTTTGGGGATGTCAATGGCTCCCTATTTGGCAGGGGGCATTCTGGGGATTTGGGGGATTTGGGAGGATTTTGGGGTGATTTTGGGGATTTGGGGGAATTCGGGAGGGGATTTGGGGAATTTTGGGGGGATTCAGGGAGGATTTGGTGAGGATTTGGGGGTATTTTGGGGTGATTTGGGGGTATTTGGGGGTGTGCCAACGGCTCATTATTTGGCAGGGGGATTCTGGGGGGATTTGGGGGGGATTTTGGGAGGATTTTGGGGTATTTTGAGGCATTTGGGGTGGATTTTGGGATATTTTGGGGTGATTTTGGGATATTTCGGGGTGATTTCGGGGTATTTGGGGTGTGCCAACGACTCATTATTTGGCAGGGGGGATTCTGGGGGGATTTGGGGGATTTGAGGGGATTTGGGGGAATTTTAGGGATTTTGGGGTGATTTGAGGGGTATTTGGGGGTGTCAATGACTCACTATTTGGCAGGGGGATTCTGGGTGGATTTGAGGGCATTTTGGGGGATTTGGGGTGGATTTTGGGGTATTTTGGGGTGATTTGGGGGATTTTAGGGGTGTCAATGGCTCCCTATTTGGCAGGAGGATTTGGGGGATTCTGGGGGGGATTTGGGGGTGGATTTTGGGGTGATTTTGGGTGGATTTTGGGATGGATTTCGGTTTGATTTTGGGGTATTTGGGGTGTGCCGATGGCTCATTATTTGGCAGGGGGATTTGGGGGATTTGGGGTGGATTTTGGGATATTTTGGGTGGATTTTGGGATATTTTGGGTGGATTTGAGTGGATTTCGGGTGGATTTCGGGGTATTTGGGGTGTGCCGATGGCTCATTATTTGGCAGGGCCGCTCCCCAGGGCCGGGCCGGGCCGGCTCATTATTTGGCAGGTGACGCATCCCCCCTCCCTCCACCCCTCCCCACCTTCCAGCCCCTCCCCACCCTCCCGGGCCGCCGGACAGGTCCGGCCGCTGCCCTCCCCACTGAGCCCTCCCCCCCAAAACCGCTCGGGTTCCCCCGGCCCCTCCCCACCCGCGGTGGCGCAACCGGGGCCAGCGGTTGGAGAGGTGGTGAAGCAACTGGGAGCGACTGGGAGCGACTGGGAGGGGGCTGGGAGGGGCTGGGAGGGGACTGGGGGCACCGGGAGGGCACTGGGAGGATTGGAACAAACTGGTTTGGACTGGGAGGGACTGGGAGGGAGTTAAAGGGGGTTTAGAGGGGATTTGGGGTAACTGGGAGGGACTGGGAGGGCACTGGGAGGGGCTGGGAGGGCACTGGGAGGGACTGGGAGGAGGCTGGGGGGTACTGGGAGGGATTGGAAAGGACTGGGAGGGGATTGGGGGGAACTGGGAGGGACTGGGAGGGAATTGGGGGGAACTGGGGGGCCCTGGGAGGGACTGGGAGGGGATTGGAATAAACTGGGAGGGACTGGGAGGTGATTGGGGGGGCACTGGGAGGGACTGGGAGGGGATTGGGGGGCACTGGGAGGGACTGGGAGGGCACTGGGGGGTTACTGGGCTATACTGGGCTGAACTGGGAGGCTCTGAGAGGTCCCTGAGGGGTTACTGGGCTGTACTGGGAGGCTCTGGGAGGCCCCTGAGAGGTTACTGGGCTGGACTGGGAGGTCCCTGAGGGGTTACTGGGCTGAGACTGGGAGGCACTGGGAGGTACTGGGAGGTCCCTGCGATGTTACTGAGAGGGGAACTGGATCATACTGGGATGTACTGGGAGGCACTGGGAGGACACTTGGAGGCTCTGGGAAGCCCTGGGGGGGTTCCTGGGAGGGCACTGGGCTGCACCGGATCATACTGGGAGGCACTGGGAAGTCACTGGAAGGGCACTGGGAGGTTACTGGGCTGAGCTGGGAGTCACTGGGGGGTTACTGGGCTGAACTGGGAGGCACTGGGAGATCCTGGAGGGGTTTACTGGGACGTACTGGGAGGCATCAGGTCTACCCATTAAAGTCAATGGGGACGAATGGATATCAGGTCTACCCATTGGAGTCAATGGGGACAAATGGGCATCAGGTCTACCCATTAAAGTCAATGGGGATAAATGGGCATCAGGTCTACCCATTGAAGTCAATGGGAGCAAATGGGCATCAGGTCTACCCGTTAAAGTCAATGGGGATAAATGGACATCAGGTCTACCCATTGAAGTCAATGGGGATAAATGAATAACAGGTCTACCCATTAAAGTCAATGAGAGTAAATGGGTATCAGGTCTACCCGTTAAAGTCAATGGGGGCAAATGGACATCAGGTCTACCCGTTGAAATCAATGGAGGCAAATGGATATCGGGTCTACCCGTTAAAGTCAATGGGGGCGAATTGGCATCAGGTCTACCCATTAATGTCAATGAGGACAAATGGACGTCAGGTCTACCCGTTAAAGTCAATGGGGCGAATGGACATCAGGTCTACCCATTGGAGTCAATGGGGGCAAACGGGTATCAGGTCTACCCATTAAACGCAATGGGGGCAAAAGGACATCAGGTCTACCCGTTGAAGCCAATGGGAACCCACGATTATCCCGATTTTTGGGGTTATCCTGGCTTTTTTGGGCTTGGTTATCCCGGTTTTTAGGCGGCTATCCGAGGATTTGGGGGATATCTCCCAGTTGCTTCAGCACCCCTACCTGAGCCCCTCCCTGATGACGTCATCACCCCTACCTTAGCCCCTCCCCGATGACATCATCACCTCTACCTGAGCCTCCCTCCCGATGACATCATCACCAATGACGTGCCCTCCTTCTCCCCTCTGGGGATTCAGGTCTGGCTTGAACTGGGAGGGACTGGGGAGGGACTGGGAGGAACTGGGAGGGAACTGAGGACTGGGAGGTACTGGGAGGGACTGGGAAGGACTGGGAGGGACTGGGAGGGACTGGGAGGGGATTGGGAGGGGACTGGGAAGGACTGGGAGGGACTGGGATGGAACTGGGAGGGACTGGAAGGGACTGGGAAGAACTGGGAGGGACTGGGAAAGGGCTTTGAGGGTTACTGGTTTATAGTGGGAGAGGACTGTGATGAACAATGGGGATAAATGAATAACAGGTCTACCCATTAAAGTCAATGAGACAAATGGGCATCAGGTCTACCCGTTAAAGTCAATGGAGGCAAATGGACATCAGGTCTACCCGTTGAAATCAATGGAGGCAAATGGATATCGGGTCTACCCGTTAAAGTCAATGGGGTGAATTGGCATCAGGTCTACCCATTAAAGTCAATGAGGACAAATGGACATCAGGTCTACCCGTTAAAGTCAATGGGGCGAATGGACATCAGGTCTACCCATTGGAGTCAATGGGGGCAAACGGGTATCAGGTCTACCCATTAAACGCAATGGGGGCAAAAGGACATCAGGTCTACCCGTTGAAGCCAATGGGAACCCACGATTATCCCGATTTTTGGGGTTATCCTGGCTTTTTTGGGCTTGGTTATCCCGGTTTTTAGGCGGCTATCCGAGGATTTAGGGGATATCTCCCAGTTGCTTCAGCACCCCTACCTGAGCCCCTCCCTGATGACGTCATCACCCCTACCTTAGCCCCTCCCCGATGACATCATCACCCCCACCTGAGCCCCTCCCCGATGACATCATCACCAATGACGTCTCTCCTTCTCCCCCTCTGGGGATTCAGGTCTGGCTTGAACTGGGAGGGACTGGGAGGGACTGGGAGGAACTGGGAGGGAACTGGGAGGGACTGGGAGGGTACTGGGAGGGACTGGGAAGGACTGGGAGGGACTGGGAGGGACTGCGAGGGGATTGGGAGGGGACTGGGAAGGACTGGGAGGGACTGGGATGGAACTGGGAGGGACTGGAAGGGACTGGGAAGAACTGGGAGGGACTGGGAAAGGGTTTTGAGGGTTACTGGTTTATAGTGGGAGAGGACTGTGATGAACTGGGAAGGATTGAGAGGGACTGGGAGGGGAATGGGGAGGCACTGGGAGGTAACTGGGTTGTACTGGGAGACGCTGGGAGGGGATTTGTGGGAACTGGGAGGGACTGAGAGGGACTGGGAAGGCACTGGGAGGTAACTGGGCTATACTGGGAGACGCTGGGAGGGGATTTGGGGGGGACTGGAGGGACTGAGAGTGAACTGGGAGCACTGGGAGGAATTGGAGAAACTGAGGGACTGGGAGGGGATTTGTGGGAACTGGGAGGGACTGGGTTGTACTGGGAAGGCACTGGGGGTAACTGGTCTGTACTGGGAGGCACTGGGACTCCCCCACTCCCACCCACAAATCACAGACTCCTCCCACTATGACATCACTTTATTAGACACGCCCACAAGGGGGCGGGGCACAGAGAGAAGGGGAGGGGCAGTGGGCGTGGCCTCCTAACACACAGCAGCCAATCAGGACCAGGCGATGTCAACGAGGGGGAGGAGCTTCTGGAGGTGGGCGGGGCCATCGGGGGCGGAGCTTAGAGGGGTCTCAGCCAATCCCAGGTGGGCCAGGCGGGGGCAGGAAGCCAATGGGGCGAGGGTGGGGGCGTGGCCAATGGCTGGGAGGGGGCGGGACTTAAGAAAATGCCCCAAGAGGCCACACCCCCACAGAGCCCAAACCACGCCCATAAACCCAAACCACGCCCATAAATTCAAGCCATGCCCACAGACCTCAAGCCACGCCCACAGAGCCCAAGCCACGCCCACAGTCCCCAAAACACACCCCCAAATCCAAACCACGCCCACAGACATCAAACCACACCCACAAATCCAAGCCACGCCCACAGAGCCCAAACCACACCCACAGAGCCCAAACCACGCCCACAGAGCCCAAACCACACCCACAAATCACAAACCACGCCCACAAATTCAAGCCCCGCCCCTTTCCTATGCCCCACCCCTTCCCCAAGCCCTGCCCCTTTTCCCAAGCCCAACCTTCCTTTCCCAAACCCCACCCCTCTCCCCAAGTCCCGCCCTTTCCCAAAGCCCCACCCCATTTCTCCAAGCCCCACCCCTTTCCTCAAGCCCCGCCCTCCCCAAACCCCTCCCTTTTTCCCAAGCCCTGTTCCCTCTCCTCATGCCCTGCCCCATCTCCACAAGCTCCCACCCCTCTCCTCAAGCCCCACCCTCTCCTCACCCCCACCCCATCTCTCCAAGCCCCGCCCCTTTCCCCAAGCCACACCCCTTTCCACAAGCCCCACCCTTTCCACAAGCTCCCACCCCTTTCCCAAACCCCACCCCTTTCCCCAAACCCTGCCCCTTTTCCCAAACCCCTCCCCTTTTTCCCCAAGCCCCGCCCCTCTCCCAAGCCCCCCCTTTCCAAGCCCCTCCCCTCTCCTCAAGCCCCACCCCTCTCCTCAACCCCCATCTCTCCAAGCCCCTTTTCCCCACACTCCGCCCTTTCCAAAGCCCCGCCCTCTTCCCAAGCCCCGCCCCTATTCCCCAAGCCCCTGCCCCTATTTGAAGCCCCACCCTCTCTCCCAAGCCCTCCCTTCCAATCCCTCCCCTCAAGCCCTGCCCCTCTCCCCAAGCCCCACCCCTTCTATCAGCCCCTCCTTTCCCAAGCCACGCCCCCTCTCCCCAAGCCCCGCCCCCTTTTTTAAGCCCCGCCCCCTCTCACGGTTCCCGTGCAGGCTCAGCCGCTCCAGGCGGGGGAGGGGCGGGAACCCCCCCAGATCCGACAGCTGATTCCGGGACAGGTCCAGTTCCTGGGGGGAGAGACCAGTACGGACCAGTATAGACCAGTATAAACCAGTACGGACCAGTATAGATGGGTATAGACCAGTACAAACCAATATAACCAGTATAAACCAGTACAGACCAGTATAGACTGGTATAGACCAGTATGGACCAGTATGGAACAGTATAGACCAGGAGGGACCAGTATAGACTGGTATAGACCAGTACAAACCAATATAACCAGTATAAACCAGTATAGACCAGTATCGACCAGTATAAACCAGTACAAACCAATATAACCAGTATAAACCAGTATAGACCACTATCGACCAGTATAAACCAGTACAAACCAGTATAGACTGATATAGACCAGTACAAACCAATATAACCAGTATAAACCAGTATAGACCAGTATAAACTGGTATAGACCGGTATGGACCAGTACGGACCACTATGGAACAGTATAGACTAATATGACCAGTACAGACCAGTATGGACCAGTATAGACTGGTATAGACCAGTACAAACCAATATAACCAGTATAAACCAGTGTAGACCAGTGTAGACCAGAATAAACTGGTATAGACCAGTACAGACCAGTACGGACCAGTATGGAGCAGTATGGACCACTATAGACTGGTATAGACCAGTACAAACCAATACAACCAGTATAAACCAGTATAGACCAGTATAGACTGGTATAGACCAGTATGGACCAGTATGGAACAGTATGGAACAGTATAGACTAATATAACCAGTATAGACTAGTGTAGACCAGTATGGACCAGTACGGACCAGTATGGACCAGTATAAACTGGTATAGACCAGTACGGACCAGTACAGACCAGTACGGACCAGTATGGACTGGTATAGACCAGTACAACCCAACATAACCAGCATAAACCAGTATAGACCAATATAACCAGTATAGACCAGTATGGACCAGTATAGACTGGTATAGACCAGTACAAACCAATATAACCAGTATAAACCCGTGTAGACCAGTATAAATCTGTTTAGACCAGTATAGACTGGTATATACTGGTACAATCCAGTATGAACCAGTATAGACCAGTATAGACCAGTATATGCCAATATAACCAGTATAAACCAGTATAGATCAGTATGGACCAGTATGGACCAGTATGGACGAATATAGACCGCTAAGGACCAGTATAGACTGGTATAGACCAGTACAAACCAATATAACCAGTATAAACCAGTGTAGACCAGTGTAGACCAGAATAAACTGGTATAGACCAGTACAGACCAGTACGGACCAGTATGGAGCAGTATGGACCACTATAGACTGGTATAGACCAGTACAAACCAATACAACCAGTATAAACCAGTATAGACCAGTATAGACTGGTATAGACCAGTATGGACCAGTATGGAACAGTATGGAACAGTATAGACTAATATAACCAGTATAGACTAGTGTAGACCAGTATGGACCAGTACGGACCAGTATGGACCAGTATAAACTGGTATAGACCAGTACGGACCAGTACAGACCAGTACGGACCAGTATGGACTGGTATAGACCAGTACAACCCAACATAACCAGTATAAACCAGTATAGACCAATATAACCAGTATAGACCAGTATGGACCAGTATAGACTGGTGTAGACCAGTACAAACCAATATAACCAGTATAAACCCGTGTAGACCAGTATAAATCTGTATAGACCAGTATAGACTGCTATAAACTGGTACAAACCAGTATGAACCAGTATAGACCAGTATGGATCAGTACAATCCAGTATAAACCAATATAAACCAGTACAAACCAGTATAGACCAGTATAAACCAGTACAAACCAGCACAAACCAGTATAAGATTTTGGAGGTGTCAATGGCTCATTATTGGGCGGGGGGGATTTTGGGGGGATTTGCGGTGATTTCGGGTGATTTTGGGGTGATTTTTGGTGATTTGGGGGATTTTGGGGGATTTTGGAAGGATTTTGGGGGATTTTGAGGTGATTTGGGGTGGATTTTGGGGTGATTTTGGGTGGATTTTTGGGTGGATTTTTGTGGATTTTTGGGTGATTTTGGGTCATTTTGGGGTGGTTTTGGGTAATTTGGGGTGATTTTGGGGTAAATTTTGGTGGATTATGGGTGATTTTGGTGCATTTGGGTGGATTTTGGGTCATTTTGGGGTGATTTTGGGGTGATTCTGGGTGATTTTGGTGGATTTGGGGTAATTTTGGTGGATTTTGGGTGATTTTAGGGTGATTTTAGTGGATTTTTGGGTGGATATTTGTGGATTTTGGGGTGATTTAGGTGGATATGGGGGTGATTTTGGGGTGATTTTGGAGCAATTCTGGGGATTTTTGCGTAGTTTTTGGGGGATTTTGGGGTCTTTTTGGGTGTATTTGGGGTGATTTTGGGATGATCAGGGGTGATTTGGGGGTGATTTGGGGTGTTTTGGGGTGATTTTGGGTAGATTTGGGGTGATTTTGGCGGGATTTTGGGGTGATTTCGGGTGGTTTTGGGTTATTTGGGGTGATTTTGGGTGATTTTGGGGTGGATTTTGGGTGATTTTGGGGTGATTTGGGAGGATTTTGGTGCATTTGGGTGGATTTTAGTGGATTTCGGGTGATATTGGAAGGATTTTGGGGAATTTTGGGGTTATTTTGGGTGATTTTGGGGTGATTTTGGGTTATTTGGGGGTTATTTTGGGTTATTCGAGGTGATTTTGGGGTTATTTTGGGTGGATTTTGGGTTATTTTGGGGTAAATTTTGGTGGATTTTGGGGGGTTTTGGGTAGATTTGAAGAGATTTTGGGTAGATTTTGGTCAATTTTGGGGTTATTTGGGGTGATTTTGGGGTGATTTTGGATGGATTTTAGGGTGATTTTGGGTTATTTGGGGTGATTTTGGTGCATTTGGGTGGATTTTGGGGTGATTTTGGGGCGATTTGGAAGGTTTTTGGGTCATTTTTGGGCGATTTTGGGGTGATTTTGGGTTATTCGGGGTGATTTTGGGGTTATTTTGGGTGGATTTTGGGTGATTTTGGGTGGATTTTTGGGTGGATTTGGGGTGATTTGAATGGATTTGGGGAGATTTTGGTGGATTTGGGGTTATTTTGGTGGATTGGGGGGGGTTTTGGGTGATTTTGGGTGATTAGGGGTGATTTTGGGTGGATATTTGTGGATTTTGGGGTGATTTGGGTGGATTTGGGGGGGATTTTAGGGTGATTCTGGGTGATTTCGGAGTATTTTGGGGAGTTTTGCGTAGTTTTTTGGGGATTTTGGGGTCTTTTTGGGTGGATTTTGGATGATTTTGGGGTGATTTGGGGTGATTTGGTTTCATTTGGGGTGATTTTGGGATGACAAGGAGTGATTTTGGAATGATTTGGGGTTATTTTGGGTGATTTTTGGAAATTTGTGGTGATTTGGGGGTTTTTGGGGTGGATTTGGGGTGATTTTGGGTGGATTTTGGGGTGATTTTGGGTGATTTTGAAGTGGTTTTTGAGAGTTTTGGGTGATTTTGGGGGATTTTGGTTGTATTTTAGGTGAATTTTGGGTTTTTTTGTGTAGATTTTGGGTGATTTGGGTGGATTTTGGGGTAATTTTGGAAGGATTTTGGTGGATTTTGCGGTGATTTTGGGTGATTTGGGTGGATTTTGGGGAGATTTGCGGTGATTTTGGGAAGATTTTTGGTGGATTTTGGGTTACTTTGGGGTAAATTTTGGTGGATTTTGAGCAATTTTGGGGTGATTTGGGGTGATGTTGGGGTGATTTTGGGGTCATTTTGGGTGGATTTTGGGGGATTTTGGTGGATTTGGCTGGATTTTAGGGCTTTTTGGATGATTTTGGGTGATTTGGGGGTGATTTTGGGTCATTTTGGGGTGATTTGGGGGTGATTTGGGGTTATTTTGGGGTGCTTTTGGGGTGATTTTGGGGCATTTTGGGGGTTATTGCGTAGTTTTTTTGGGGATTTGGGGGTCTTTTTGGGTGGATTTTGGGTGATTTGGGGGTGATTTGGTTTCATTTGGGGTGATTTTGGGATGACTAGGAGTGATTTTGGGGTTTTTGGGGTGGATTTTGGGTGATTTTGGATGGATTTTGTGTAATTTGGGGGGATTTTGGGGTGATTTTCGTTGTATTTTAGGTGGATTTTGGGGTTTTTTGTGTGGATTTTGGGTGATTTGGGTGGATTTTGGGGTGATTTGTGGTGATTTTGGGTAGATTTTGGTGGATTTTGGGTGATTTGGGGGTGATTTGGGGTGATTTTTGAGTTATTTTGGGTGGATTATGGGTGATTTTGGGAGATTTGGGTGATGTTGGGGTGATTTTGTGGTTATTTTGGGGTGATTCTGGGTGATTTTGGTGGATTTGGGGTAATTTTGGTGGATTTTGGGGTGATTTTAGTGGATTTTTGGGTGATTTTGGGTGATTTGGGGGTGATTTGGGGTGATGTCGGGGTGATTTTGCGGTGATTTTGGGTGATGTTGGGGTCATTTTGTATGTATTTTAGGTGGATTTTGGCTTTTTTTGTGTGATTTTGGGTCATTTTATGGTAACTTTTGGTGGATTTTGGGTTATTTTGGGGTAAATTTTGGGTTATTCTGGGGTAAATTTTGGGTTATTTTGGAGTAATTTTGGATGATTTGGGGGTAATTTTGGATGATTTTAGGGTGATTTTGGGGTGATTTGGGAGGTTTTTGAGTCATTTTTCGGTGACTTTGGGTTATTTGGGGTGATTTTGGGTGGATTTTGAGGTTATTTTGGGTGGATTTTGGGTGATTTGGGTGATGTTGGGGTGATTTGGGGTGCTTTTATGGTGATTTTGGGTGATTTGGGGGTGCTTTTGGGTGGATTTTGGGTGATTTTCGTGGATTTGGATGGATTTTGGGTTATCTTGGGGTAAATTTTGGTGGATTTGGGGGGATTTTGGGGTTATTTTTTATGATTTTGGGGTTATTTTGGGTAATTTTGGGGTGGTTTGGGGTGATTTTGGGTTATTTTAGGGTACATTTTGGTGGATTTTGGGTAATGTTTGGGTGATTTGGGGTGGTTTTGGGGTAAATTTTGGTGGATTTGGGGTGATTTTGGGTGATTTTGGTGCATTAGGGTGGATTTTGGTGGATTTTGGGTGATTTTGGGGTGATTTTGGTGGATTTGGGGGCATTTTGGGTGATTTTGGGGTGATTTTGGTTGATTTTTGGGTGATTTTGGTGGGTTTGGGGGCATTTTGGGTGATTTGGGGGTGATTTTGGGTGATTTGGGGGTGATTTTGGGTGATTTTGGGGTGATTTTGGGTGGATTTGGGGGTATTTTGGGTCATTTTGGGTCATTTTTTGGGGTCTCCTCACCTGGAGGCGCCGCAGGGCCCCCAAATTTGGGGGGAGGGTCCTCAGGAGGTTCCCAGACAGGTCCAGGTGGGTCACCAGGACCATCCGCTCCAGGAGGGGCAGTGACGTCAACCCCTGCCAGTATAAACCAGTATGAACCAGTACAAACCAGTATAAACCAGTATAGACCAGTATGAACCAGTATAAACAAGTATAGACCAGTATAAACCAGCATGAACCAGTACAAACCAGTATAAACCACTACAGACCAGTATAAACCACTATAGGCCAGTACCAGTACAGACCAATATGAACCAGTATAGACCAGTATGAACCAGCAAACATCAAAACCCCTCCCAGTATAAACCAGTATAAACCAGTAAGCCCCAAAATCACTCCCAGTGAGTCTTTCATCTTCTCCCAGTATAAACCACTATAAACCAGTATAAACCCTTTAGCCCCTCCCCTCCCCTTTAACCCCTCCCCTCCTTTAACCCCTCCCCTCCCTTTTAACCCCTCCCTTCCTTTAACTCCTCCCCTCCTTTAACCCCTCCCCCTCCCCTTTAACCCCTCCCCCTCCCTTTAACTCCTCCCCCTCCTTTAACCCCTCCCCTCCTTTAACCCCTCCTCTCCCCTTTATCCCCTCCCCTCCCCTTTAGCCCCTCCCCCTCCTTTAACCCCCTCCCTCCCTTTAGCCCCTCCTCCTCCTTTAACCCCTCCCCTCCCTTTTAACCCCTCCCCTCCCTTTAACCCCTCCCCTTTAGCCCTCCTAACCCCTCCCCTCCTTTAACCCCTCCCCTTCCCTTTAACCCCTCCCTCCTATTAACCCCTCCCTTTAGCCCTCCTTTAACCCCTCCCCTCCTTTAACCCCTCCCTCTTCCCTTTAACCCCTCCCCTCTCCTTTAACCCCTCCCCTCCCTTTAGCCCCTCCCCTTCTCTTTAACCCCTCCTCCTTTAACCCCTCCCTCCTTTAACCCCTCCCCTCTCCTTTAGCCCCTCCCCCTCCCCTTTAACCCCTCCCCTTTAGCCCCTCCTCCCTTTTAGCCCCTCCTCCTCCTTTAGCCCCTCCCCTCTTTAACCCTCCTCCTCCTTTAACCCCTCCCCCCTTTTAACCCCTCCCCTTTTAACCCCTCCTCTTTAGCCCTTTAACCCCTCCCCCTTTAGCCCCTCCCCTCCTTTAACCCCTCCCCACTTTAACCCCTCCTCCTTTAGCCCCTCCCCTCCTCTTTAACCCCTCCCCCCTTTAACCCTCCCCTCCTTTAACCCCTCCCCTCCCTTTAACCCCTCCCCTCCTTTTAACCCCTCCCCCTTTTAACCCCTCCCCTTTAACCCCTCCCCTTTTAACCCCTCCCCTCCTTTAACCCCTCCCCTCTTTAACCCCTCCCCACTTTTAACCCCTCCCCTCTTTTAACCCCTCCCCTCTTTTAACCCCTCCCCCTTTTAACCCCTCCCCTCTTTAACCCCTCCCCTTTTAACCCCTCCCCCTTTTAGCCCCTCCCCTTTTAACCCCTCCCCTTTTAACCCCTCCCCCCTTTAACCCCTCCCCTTTTAACCCTCCCCTCCTTTAACCCCTCCCCACTCCCTTTAACCCCTCCCTCTCCCCTTTAGCCCCTCCCCCTTTAACCTCCTTTTAACCCCTCCCCCTTTTAACCCCTCCCCCTTTTAGCCCCTCCCCTCCTTTAACCCCTCCCCCTTTTAACCCCTCCCCCTTTAACCCCTCCCCTCCTTTAACCCCTCCCCTCTTTAACCCCTCCCCTCCTTTAACCCCTCCCCCTCCTTTAACCCCTCCCCCTTAACCCCTCCCCTTTTAACCCCTCCCCCTCCTTTAACCCCTCCCCTCCTTTAACCCCTCCCCCCTTTAACCCCTCCCCTCCTTTAACCCTCCCTTCCCTTTAACCCCTCCCCTCCTTTAGCCCCTCCTCTCCTTTAACCCTCCCCTTCCTTTAACCCTCCTCCTTTAACCCTCCCTCCTTTAGCCCCTCCCCTTTAACCCCTCCCCTTCCTTTAGCCCACTCCCTTGCCCTACCCTTTAGCCCCTCCTCCCTTTAACCTCCCTCCCCCTCCTTAGCCCCTCTCCCTTTAACCTCCCTCCTTTAGCCCCTCCCCTCCTCTTTAACCCCTCCCTCCTTTAACCTCCCCCTCCCTTTTAGCCTCTCTACCTCTCATTTAGCCTCCTCTACCCCTCCCCTCCTTTAACCTCCTCCCTCCTCAACCTCCTTTAGCCCCTCCTCATAGCTCCTCACCCTTTAGCCCTCCTTCCCTTTAATCCCTCCCCTTAGCCTCCATTAACCCTCCCTTTAGCCCCGCCCCTTTTTTACCTTATTTGGCAGGCGGAGCCAAAGGGGCCCAGGCCCCGCCCCCAATCCCAGCACCCCCAGCGCAGCCTCCAATCGCGAGGCCACGTCGGCCACGAAGCCCAATCGGAGAGGGTCGGCCTCCTGGAGGGGGTGGGGCTTGTCAGAGACCAGTACAGACCAGTATAGACCAGTATAGACCAGTATAGACCAGTATAAATCAGTATAAACTAGTATAGACCAGAAGAGACCAGTATAGACCAGCATAAACCAGTACAGACCAGTATAAACCAGTATAGACCAGCACAAACCAATATAACCAGTATAGACCAGTATAAATCAGTATAAACTAGTATAGACCAGAAGAGACCAGTATAACCAGTATAAGCCAGTATAGACCAGTATACACTGGTATAGACCAGTAGGAACCAGTATGGACTAGTATGGACCAGTATGGACCAGTATAGACTGGTATAGACCAGTACAAACCAATATAACCAGTATAAACCAGTATAAACCAGTATAGACCAGTATAGACCAGTATAGAGCAGTATAAACCAGTATAGACCAGTATAAACTGGTATAGAACAGTATAAACTAGTATAGACCAGTACAAACCAGTATAAACCAGTATAAACCAGTAAGCCCCAAAACCACTCCCAGGGGGTCCCAAACCCCTCCCAGTATAAACCAGTATAAACCAGTACAAACCAATAAGCCCAAAATCACTACCAGTGTGTCCCACAACCCCTCCCAGTCCAAACCAGTCCAAACCAGTCCAAACCAATACAAACCAGTATAAACCAGTATAAACCAGTAAGCCCCCAAACTACCCCCAATGTGTCCCGCACCACCTCCCAGTATAAACCAGTACAAACCAGTACGAACCAGTAAGACCCAAAATCACTCAAAACCACTCCAGTGGGTCCCAAACCCCTCCCAGTATAAACCAGTAAGCCCCAAATCAATCCCAGTGTGCCCCACACCCCTCCCAGTACAAACCAGTGTAAACCAGTATAAACCAGTAAGCCCCAAAATCACTCAAAACCACTCCCAGTGGGTCCCAAACCCCTCCCAGCATAAACCAGTAAACCCAAAAATCAATCCCAGTGAGACCTTCCCCCCCTCCCAGTCCAAACCAGTACAAACCAGTAAGCCCCAAAATCACTCCCAATCACTCCCAGTGGGTCCCAAACCCCTCCCAGTATAAACCAGTAAGCCCCCAAACCAATCCCTAGTGTGACCCACAACCCCTCCCAGTATAAACCAATACAAACCAGTACAAACCAGTAAAACCACTACAAACCAAAGCTCACTACCAGTGGGTCCCAAACCCCTCCCAGTATAAACCAGTAAGCCCCCAAATCACTCCCAGTGTGCCCCGCACCCCCTCCCAGTCCAAATCAGTCCAAACCAGTCCAAACCAGTCCAAACCAGTAAGCACCCAAATCACTCCCAGTGTGTCCCACAGCCCCTCCCAGTCCAACCCAGTCCAACCCAGTCCAACCCAGTATAAACCAGTCCAACCCAGTCCGAACCAGTATAAACCAGTCCAACCAAGCCCAAACCAGTCCAACCCAGTCCAACCCAGTCCAACCCAGTCCAACCCAGTATAAACCAGTCCAACCCAGTCCAACCCAGTCCAACCCAGTCCAACCCAGTCCAAACCAGTCCAACCCAGTCCAAACCAGTATAAACCAGTCCAACCCAGTCCAACCCAGTCCAACCCAGTATAAACCAGTCCAAACCAGTCTAAACCAGTCCAACCCCGTCCAACCCAGTCCAATCCAGTCCAACCCAGTCTAAACCAGTCCAACCCAGTCCAAACCAGTCCAAACCAGTCCAAACCAGTATAAACCAGTCCAACCCAGTCCAACCCAGTCCAACCCAGTGCAAACCAATCCAACCCAGTCCAACCCAGTCCAACCCAGTCCGAACCAGTCTAAACCAGTCCAAACCAGTCCAACCCAGTCCAACCCAGTCCAACCCAGTCCAACCCAGTCCAACCCAGTCCAACCCAGTCCAAACCAGTCCGAACCAGTCCAACCCAGTCCAACCCAGTCCGAACCAGTCCAACCCAGTCCAACCCAGTCCAACCCAGTCCAAACCAGTCCAACCCAGTCCAAACCAGTCCAACCCAGTCCGAAACCAGTCCAACCCAGTCCAAACCAGCCCAACCCAGTTCAACCCAGTCCAGCCGGTCCAACCCAGTCCAACCCAGTCCAAACCAGTCCGAACCAGTCCAAACCAGTATAAACCAGTCCAACCCAGCCCAACCCAGTCCAACCCAGTCCAACCCAGTCCAACCCAGTATAAACCAGTATAAACCAGTCCGAAGACCAGTATAAACCAGCCCAAACCAGTCCAACCCAGTCCAACCCAGACCAACCCAGTCCAAACCAGTCCAACCCAGTCCAAACCAGTCCAAACCAGTCCAACCCAGTCCAAACCAGTCCAAACCAGTCCGAAGCCAGTCCAACCCGGTCAGCAGTCAACCAGTCCCAGCGGTCCAACACCAGTCTAAACCAGTTCACCAGTCAACCCAGTACAAACCAGTCCAAACCAGTCTAAACCAGTCCAAACCAGCCCAGTCCAGCCCAGTCAGCGGTCAACCCAGTCCAAACCAGCCCAGCCTGGTCAACCCAGTCCGAACCAGTCCAACCCAGTCCAACCCAGTCCAACCCAGTCCAAACCAGTCCAACCCAGTCCAAACCAGTATAAACCAGTCCAAACCAGGCCAAACCAGTACAAACCAGGCCAACCCAGTCCAAACCAGTATAACCCAGTCCAAATCAGTATAAACCAGTATAAACCAGTCCAACCCAGTCCAACACAGTCCAACCCAGTATAAACCAGTCCGAACCAGTATAAACCAGTCCAACCCAGTCCAAACCAGTCCGAACAAGTCCAACCAGTCCAAACCGGTCCAACCCAGTCCAAACCAGTCCGAACCAGTCCAAACCAGTCCAACCCAGTCCAAACCAGTCCAAACCAATCCAACCCAATCCAAACCAGTCCAAACCAGTCCAACCCCGTCCAACCCAGCCCAAACCAGTCTGAACCAGTCCGAACCAGTATAAACCAGTCCAAACCAGTCCAACCCAGCCCAACCCAGTCCAACCCAGTCCAACCCAGTCCAACCCAGTCCAAACCAGTCCAACCCAGTCCAACCCAGTATAAACCAGTCCAAACCAGCCCAACCCAGTCCAACCCAGTATAAACCAGTCCAACACAGCCCAACCCAGTCCAAACCAGTCCAAACCAGCCCAAACCAATCCAATCCAGGCCGACCCAGTCCAACCCAGTCCAACCCAGTCCAAACCAGTCCAAACCAGTCCAACCCAGTCCAAACCAGTCCAACCCAGTCCGAACCAGTCCAACCCAGTCCAAGCCAGTCCAACCCAGTCCAGCCCGGTCTAAACCAGTCCAACCCAGTCCAAACCAGTCTAAACCAGTCCAAACCAGTCCAGCGCCAGTCCAACCCAGTCCAAACCAGTATAAACCAGTCCAACCCAGTCCAAACCAGTCCAAACCAGCCCAAACCAGTCCAACCCAGTCCAACCCAGTCCAACCCAGTATAAACCAGTCCAACCCAGTCCAAACCAGTCCAAACCAGTCCAAACCAGTATAAACCAGTCCAACCCAGTCCAACCCAGTATAAACCAGTCCAACCCAGTCCAACCCAGTCCAAACCAGTCCAAACCAGTCCAAACCAGTATAAACCAGTCCAACCCAGCCCAACCCAGTCCAACCCAGTATAAACCAGTCCAACCCAGTCCAACCCAGTCCAACCCAGTCCAACCCAGTATAAACCAGTCCGAACCAGTATAAACCAGTCCAACCCAGTCCAACCCAGTATAAACCAGTCCGAACCAGTATAAACCAGTCCAACCCAGTCCAAACCAGTATAAACCAGTCCAACCCAGTCCAACCCAGTCCAACCCAGTATAAACCAGTCCAACCCAGTCCAACCCAGTATAAACCAGTCCAAACCAGTCCAACCCAGTCCAAACCAGTCCAAACCAGTCCAACCCAGTCCAACCCAGTCCAACCCAGTATAAACCAGTATAAACCAGTATAAACCAGTCCAAACCAGTCCAAACCAGTCCAAACCAGTATAAACCAGTATAAACCAGTCCAAACCAGTCCAACCCAGTATAAACCAGTCCAACCCCGTCCAACCCAGTCCAAACCAGTCCAACCCAGTCCAACCCAGTCCAAACCAGTATAAACCAGTCCAACCCAGTCCAAACCAGCCCAACCCAGTCCAAACCAGTCCAACCCAGTCCAACCCAGTATAAACCAGTCCATCCCAGTCCAACCCAGTCTAACCCAGTCCAACCCAGTCCAAACCAGTCTGAACCAGTCCAACCCAGTCCGAACCAGTCCAAACCAGTCCAACCCAGTCCAAACCAGTCCAACCCAGTCCGAACCAGTCCAAACCAGTCCAACCCAGTCCGAACCAGTCCAACCCAGTCCAAATCAGTCCAACCCAGTCCAACCCAGTCTAAACCAGTCCAACCCAGTCCAACCCAGTCTGAACCAGTATAAACCAGTATAAACCAGTCCAAACTAGTATAAACCAGTATAAACCAGCCCAAACCAGCCCAACCCAGTATAAACCAGTCCAACCCAGTCCAACCCAGTCCAACCCAGTCCAAACCAGTATAAACCAGTATAAACCAGTCCAACCCAGCCCAACCCAGTCCAAACCAGCCCAAACCAATCCAATCCAGGCCGACCCAGTCCAACTCAGCCCAAACCAGTATAAACCAGTCCAACCCAGTCCAACCCAGTCCAAACCAGTCCAACCCAGTATAAACCAGTCCAAACCAGTCCAAACCAGTATAAACCAGTCCAAACCAGCCCAACCCAGTCCAAACCAGCCCAACCCAGTATAAACCAGTCCAACCCAGTCCAACCCAGTCCAACCCAGTATAAACCAGTCCAACCCAGTGCAAACCAGTCCAAACCATCCCAAACCAGTCCAACCCAGTCCGAACCAGTATAAACCAGTGCGTACCAGTCCAACCCAGTATAAACCAGTCCAACCCAGTCTGAACCAGTCCAACCCAGTCCAAACCAGTATAAACCAGTCCAAACCAGGCCAACGCAGTCCAACACAGGCCAACCCAGTCCAAACCAGTATAAACCAGTATAAACCAGTCCGAACCAGTATAAACCAGTCCAAACCAGTCTGTACCAGTCCAACCCAGTCCAAACCAGTCCAAACCAGTATAAACCAGTATAAACCAGTATAAACCAGTCCAACCCAGTCCAACCCAGTCCAAACCAGTCCAACCCAGTCCAACCCAGTCCAAACCAGTCCAACCCAGTCCAAACCAGTATAAACCAGTCCAAACCAGTCCAAACCAGTCCAACCCAGTCTGAACCAGTATAAACCAGTATAAACCAGTCCAAACCAGTATAAACCAGTATAAACTAGTCCAAAGTAGTATAAACCAGTATAAACCAGTATAACCCAGTCCAAACCAGTATAAACCAGTATAAACCAGTATAAACCAGTCCAACCCAGTCCAACCCAGTCCAACCCAGTATAAACCAGTACAAACCAGTCCAACCCAGTATAAACCAGTATAAACCAGTATAAACCAGTATAAACCAGTATAACCCAGTAAGCCCCGCTCACCTGGAGGCTCCGCAGGTGCCTCCGAGCCTCCTGGGCGTGGCCGGGCGGGTCCAGCACCGACAGCAGCAGCGCCAGGGTGAGGAGGCAGCCTGGCCACGCCCCCCACAGGTGAGTGGGCGTGGTCAGGCCACGCCCCCATCTCAGGTGAGGGGGAGGGGCTCTGAAGGGGGCGTGGCCTCACCGCGGCTGCGCGGCTCCAGCTCCAGCAGCTGCCGGCAGGTGGACACCTCCTCCTGCAGCACCTGAGCGTCGGCCACGCCCACCTCCGGCCTGAGGGGGCGGGGCTTAATCAGAAAAAGGCGGGGTTTGGAGAAAAGGGGCGGGGTTTGGTGGAAAGGGGCGTGGTTTGTTCAGAAAGGGGTGTGGTTTAGTCAGAAAGGGGTGTGGTTTATTCAGGAAGGGGCATGGTTTAGTCAGAAAGAGGCGTGGTTTAGTCAAAAAGGGGTATGGTTCTATCAGGAAGGGGTGTGGTTTAATCAGAAAGGGGTATAGCTTAGTCAAAAAGGGGCGTGGTTTAGTCAGAAAAGGGAGTGGTTTGGTCAGAAAGGGGCGTGGTTTAGTCAGAAAGGGGAGTGGTTCAATCAGAAAGGGGTGTGGTTTATTCAGAAAGGGGAATGGTTTAGTAAGAAGAGGTGTGGTTTAGTCAGAAAGGGGCGTGGTTTAGTCAGGAAGGGGCGTGGTTTAATAAAAAGGGGACGTGGTTTATTCAGAAAGGGGCGTGGATTGATAAAAAAGGGCGGGGTTTTGTGGAAGGGGCGGGGTTTGGTCAGGAAGGGGCGTGGTTTAATCAGAAAGGGGAATGGTTTATTCAGAAAGGGGCGTGGTTTGGTCAGAAGGGGGGTGGTTTAATCAGAAAGGGGCGTGGTTTAGTCAGAAAGGGGTGTGGTTTAGTCAGAAAGGGGTGCGCTTTAGTCAGCAAGGGGTGTGGTTGAGTCAGAAAGGGGCGTGGTTTGAGTCAGGAAGGGGCGTGGTTTAGTCAGGAAGGGGCGTGGTTTGGTGAAAGGGGCGTGGTTTGGTAAGAAAGGGGCGGGGTTTGGTCCGAAGAGGAATGGTTTATTCAGGAAGGGGCGTGGTTTGATGGAAAAGGGCGTGGTTTGGTCAGAAAAGGGCTGTGGTTTATTCAGAAAGGGGAGTGGTTTCATAAGAAAGGGGTGTGGTTTAGTCAGAAAGAGGTGTAGTTTATTAAGAAAGGGGTGTGGTTTATTCAGAAAGGGGCGTGGTTTGGTGAAAGGGGCACGGTTTAGTCAGGAAGGGGGGTTAGTCAGAAAGGGGTGTGGCTTATTACGAAAGGGGTGTGGTTTATTAAGGGGCGTAGTTTGTTGAAAAGGGGCATGGTTTATTCAGAAAAGGGGCGTGGTTCAATCAGAAAGGAGTGTGGTTTAGTCAGAAGGGGCGTGGTTTATTCAGGAAGGGGCGTGGCTTGTTGGAAAAAGGGAGAGGTTTAGTCAAAAAAAGAGGTGTGATTTGGTTGAAAAGGGGCGTGGTTTGGTGAAAAGGGGCGTGGTTTAGTCAGGAAGGGGTGTGGTTTGGTCAGAAAAGGGGTGTGGTTTAATAAGAAAGGGCATGCTTTATTCAGAAAGGGGTTTGATAAGAAGGGCGTGGTTTATTCAGGAAGGGGTGTGGTTTGATGGGATAAGGGTGTGGATTGCTCCGAAAAAAGGGCGTGGTTTGTTAAAAAGGGGCATGGTTTGGTGAAAAGGGGTGTTGCTTATTTAGAACGGGGTGTGGTTTGGTCAGAAAAGGGGTGTGGTTTAATCAGAAAGGGGCGTGGTTTGGTGAAAAGGGGTATGCTTTAGTCAGGAAGAGGCGTGGTTTAGTAAAAAGGGGAGTGGTTTGGTTGGAAAGGAGTGTGGTTCAATCAGAAAGGGGCATGGTTTAATCAGAAAGGTGTGTGGTTTACTCAGAAAGGGGTGTGGTTTGGCCAGAAAGGGGTGTGGTTTATTAAAAGAGGGTGTGGTTTGGTTAAAAAGGGGCGTGGTTTGGTCAGAAAAGGGCGGGGCTTAACAAAAAGGGGGGTGTGGTTTGAGGTTGTATAGGGGTAAAGGTGGGTGGGGCTTTCATAAAGGAGGTGTGGCTTTTGATTTAGGGGGTGTGGCTTCATCAGAAAGGGCCATGGTTTAGTCAGAAAGGGGCGTGGTTTGGTCAGAAAGGGGTGTGGTTAAGGCAAGAAGGGGCATGGCCAGCCCCAAAGGGGGCGTGGCTTATTCCCAATAAGGATCTTAAATAATATAGGGGGGGTGAAGGGGTTGGGTGGGCGTGGCCTCGCTAAGAAGTGGGCGTGGCTTTCTCCAGGGTGGGCGTGGCTTACCAGAACAGCTCCCGGGCCACGATTGGCTCCTGCCACCAGGCCTCGTCCTCGTCTGGGACGGAAATGGGGGGGGGTTACTGGGATGAACTGGGGTGAACTGGGATGAACTGGGAGGGGCACTGGGTGGGCGTGGCCCTCACCTGGGGGCAGCGTGACCTCATGGTGGGCGGAGTCAGGCACCCAGGTGACGCCCAGCTGGAGGCGGGGCCGCTGGGTGGGCGTGGCGTCGGCAGGGCGGGGCAGGTCCAGGAGCTTTGATACCTTGTCAAGGTGGCCACGCCCATCCAAGCCCCGCCCACCCTGGCCACGCCCACCCGGTTGGAAAAGGATACCCAGGTGTGGGAGGGGCGTGGCCGCCCCTCCCCCGAGCGCCACGCCCCTTCCAGGGCGGAGCCGTCCAGCGTCGCCCTCAGGTCTGGCCGGTCCGGGCTCACCTGGGGTGGGGGGAAACAAAAATTTGTGGGGTTTTAACCCAAAAATGGGGGGTTTGTGGCCCCCAAAATGGGGAGTTTTAGGCCCAAAATATCTGGGACATCAGGTCTACCCATTGAAGTCAATGGGGTGAATGGACATCAGGTCTACCCATTGGAGTCAATGGGGTCAACGGGCATCAGGTCTACCCATTGGAGTCAATGGGGCTGAAGGGGCATCAGGTCTACCCATTGGAGTCAATGGGGCTAAAGGGAAATCAGGTCTACCCATTGGAGTCAATGGGGTAAAAAGGACATCAGGTCTACCCATTGGAGTCAATGGGGCTGAAGGGACATCAGGTCTACCCATTGGAGTCAATGGGGTGAATGGACATCAGGTCTACCCATTAGAGTCAATGGGGTTAAAGAGACATCAGGTCTACCCATTGGAGTCAATGGGGCAAAAAGGACATCAGGTCTACCCATTGAAGTCAATAGGGCTGAAAGGGAAACAGGTCTACCCATTAGAGTCAATGGGGTTAAAGGGACATCAGGTCTACCCATTGGAGTCAATGGGGTTAAAGGGACATCAGGTCTACCCATTGGAGTCAATGGGGTTAAAGGGACATCAGGTCTACCCATTGGAGTCAATGGGGTGAAGAACGGACATCAGGTCTACCCATTGGAGTCAATGGGGTTAATGAGACATCAGGTCTACCCATTGGAGTCAATGGGGCTAAAGGGACATCAGGTCTACCCATTGGAGTCAATGGGGTTAAAGGGGCAACAGGTCTACCCATTGGAGTCAATGGGGTTAAAGGGGCAACAGGTCTACCCATTGGAGTCAATGGGGCAAAAAGGACATCAGGTCTACCCATTGGAGTCAATGGGGTGAAGAATGGAAATCGGGTCTACCCATTGGAGTCAATGGAGCGAATGGACATCAGGTCTACCCATTGGAGTCAATGGGGTGAATAAGACATCAGGTCTGTCCATTGGAGTCAATGGGGCTAAAGGACATCAGGTCTACCCATTAAAGTCAATGGGGTAAAAACGACATCAGGTCTACCCATTGAAGTCAATGGGGATCAAAGGAATATCAGGTCTACCCTTTGGAGTCAATGGGGTTAAAGGGACACCAGGTCTACCCACTAAAGTCAAAGGGGCAAAACAATCATCAGGTCTACCCATTAAAGTAAAAGGGGCTTGATAAAACATCAGGTCTACCCGTTAAAAATCAATAGGGCAAAAGGGTCATCAGATCTACCCATTAAAGGTAAAAAGTATTGATAAGACATCAAGTCTACCCATTAGGGTCAACAAGGTAAAAGGGTTATCAGAGCTACCCATTAAAGGTAAATGGGATTGATAAAACATCAGGTCTACCCATTAAAAGCAATAGGAATCAAAGGGATATCAGGTCTAGCCATGGAAGTCAATAGGGATCAAAGAGGACATCAGGTCTACCCATTAAAGTCAATGGGGTAAATGGGAAATCAGGTCTACCCGTTAAAGTCAATGGGGATCAAAGGGACATCAGGTCTACCCATTAAAGTCAATGGGGATAAATAGGGATATCAGGTCTACCCATTAAAGTCAATGGGGATCAAAGGGATATCAGGTCTACCCATTAAAGCCAATGGGGATCAAAGGGATATCAGGTCTACCCATTAAAGTCAATGGGGCAAATGGGATATCAGGCCTACCCCTAAAGTTAATGGGGTCCAGTGCTCTGTTTTGGGGGGTAACCAGGGGTGTTTTTGGGGAAGATTCAGGTGTATAAAGGAGGACCCAGAAGTTTTCTGGAGGGGGGGAATCCAAGAGTTCCCAACTCACCACGACGGGGCGGGAGAAGACGACGGCCAGCGTGGCGTCCTCGCGGTTGACGTACACGCAGATGATCCTCGGCGGGGGGGTGGCTTTTTAGGGGACACCCCGACACTCAGAGGGGTTCCCCGGGTGTCCAGGTGTGAAGGGACCACCCCCCACCCTCCCCAAATTACCTCGGGAGAGGATGCAGCGCAGGTAGACCCAGGCACTCTGGTCAGTGGGGTCGGTGAAGACGGCGTTCTGCACCAGCTCCAGCTCTGGGAAGGGGCAAAGAGGGGAGCCCAATACCTCAGGGGGACACCCCAATACCTGAGGGGGGCACCCCAATATCTGAGGGAAGCACCCAGGAGTCTTGGGGAGGGACCCCAGTGTGTGGGAGTTCAGGTCTACCTGGTCAAGTCTATGGGGAACCTGGGTTGAGGGGGACCCAAGGGTTTTGGGGGGGGGGACCCCAGGGGTATTTGAGGGGTCTCTGGTGACCCCCCAGTGTGTCCCCACAACGTTTTGGGGGCCCACAGTGATTTTAGAGGGGGGTCACAGGGGAAAACCCCAAGATCCAGGGTATCAGGTCTACCCATTGGAGTAAATGGGGACAAATGGGCATCAGGTCTACCCATTAAAGTTAATGGGGACAAATGGGCATCAGGTCTACCCATTGAAGTTAATGGGGACAAATGGGCATCAGGTCTACCCATTGGAGTAAATAAGGGGTTAATGGATATCAGGACTATCCATTAAAATCAAAAGGAATCAATGAGACATCAGGTCTACCCATTACACTCAATTGGGCAAAAAGGACACCACGTCTACCCATTAAACAGGTTAAACTAGAAATCATGTCTACCCATTAAATTTAAGTAGGTAAAATGGGACATCAGGTCTGCCTATTAAACAGCTCTGATGGGAAATTAGGTTTACCCTTAATTAAACTCAACTAAACCCAACAGGACATCAGGTCTACCCATTAAAGTCAATGGGGATCAAAGGGACATCAGGTCTACCCATTAAACTCAATGGAGGAAGGGTCAACAGGTCTACCCATTAAACTCAATTAGGTTAAATCGGACATCAGGTCTACCCATTAAACTCAATGGGGATCAAAAGGACATCAGGTTTATCCATTAAACTCAATGGGGATCAAAGGGACATCAGGTCTACCCATTAAACTCAATGGGGATCAAAGGGACATCAGGTCTACCCATTAAAGTCAATGGAGGGAGGGTCAACAGGTCTACCCATTAAACTCAATTAGGTTAAATCGGACATCAGGTCTACCCATTAAAATCAATAGGGATCAATAGGTCAACAGGTCTACCCATTAAAGTCAATGGGAGATCAAAGGGACATCAGGTCTACCCATTAAAGGCAATGGGGACCAAAGCGACATCAGGTCTACCCATTAAACTCAATGGAGGAAGGGTCAACAGGTCTACCCATTAAAGTCAATGGGGATCAAAAGGTCAACAGGTCTACCCATTAAAGTCAATGGGGATCAAAGGGACATCAGGTCTATCCATTAAACTCAATGGGGATCAATGGGTGAGCAGGTCTACCCATTAAAGTGAATGGGGATCAAAGGTCAACAGGTCTACCCATTAAAGTCAATGGAGGGAGGGTCAACAGGTCTACGCATTAAACTCAATGGAGACACGGTCAACAGGTCTACCCATTAAACTCAATGGGGATCAACAGGTGAACAGGTCTACCCATGAAACTCAAGGAGGATCAAAAGGACATCAGGTCTAACTTAAAATCAATGGGGATCAAAGGGACATCAGGTCTACCCATTAAAGTCAATGGGGATCAAAGGGACATCAGGTCTACCCATTAAAGTCAATGGGGATCAAAGGGACATCAGGTCTACCCATTAAAGTCAATGGGGATCAAAGGGACATCAGGTCTACCCATTAAAGTCAATGGGGATCGAAAGGACATCAGGTCTACCCATTAAACTCAATGGAGGGAGGTTCAACAGGTCTACCCATTAAAGTCAATGGGGATTAAAGGGACATCAGGTCTACCCATTAAAGTCAAGGGGGATCAAAGGGACATCAGGTCTACCCATTGAACTCAACGGGGATCAACAGGTCTATCCATTAAACTCAATTAGGATCAAAGGGACATCAGGTCTACCCATTGAACTCAATGGGGATCAACAGGTCTATCCATTAAACTCAATTAGGATCAAAGGGACATCAGGTCTACCCATTAAACTCAATGGGGATCAAAAGAACATCAGGTCTACCCATTAAAGTCAATGGGGACCAACAGGTCATCAGGTCTACCCATTAAAGTCAAAGGGGATCAAAGGGACATCAGGTCTACCCATTAAAGTCAATGGAGAGAGGGTTAACAGGTCTACCCATTAAAGTCAATGGGGACCAACAGGTCAACAGGTCTACCCATTAAAGTCAAAGGGGATCAAAGGGACCTCAGGTCTACCCATTAAACTCAATGGAGAGAGGGTTAACAGGTCTACCCATTAAAGTCAATGGGGACCAACAGGTCAACAGGTCTACCCATTAAAGTCAATGGGGATCAAAGGGACATCAGGTCTACCCATTAAACTCAATGGGGATCAAAGGGACATCAGGTCTACCCATTAAAGTCAATGGAGGGAGGGTCATCAGGTCTACCCATTAAAGTCAATGGAGGGAGGGTCATCAGGTCTACCCATTAAAGTCAATGGAGGGAGGGTCATCAGGTCTACCCATTAAACTCAATGGAGGGAGGGTCATCAGGTCTACCCATTAAACTCAATGGAGGGAGGGTCATCAGGTCTACCCATTAACCCCCATGGAGGAGCCAACTCCCAAAAAATTTTCCGGGAATTCTTTTTTTTTATTCCCAGGGGTAAAAAAAAAAACAACTCCAACTCACCCTGCCTCATCCTGTCGGGGCTCAGGGGCTCTCCCCGCCCCCCCGGGCCGGGCCTGAGGAGCCGCAGGCGGTGGTGCCAGGCCGAGAAGTTGGAGAAGTCGCGGCTCAGGAGGGACCCGGCGAAGGCCAGCTCGGCTTCGGGGTCATCCTGAGCCACCAGGGCCCACTGGTGGACTGGGAATGCACCAGTACAGACCAGTTTGGTACTGGGAGCAACCCCCACAGCCTTAACCCCTCCCTGGGGCTCCTGGGGGTCATTCCCAGTATGAACCAGTAAGGACCAGTTTGGCTTCGGGGTCATCCTGAGCCACCAGGGCCCGCCGGTGCTCCCAGGCGTGGACTGGGAATGCACCAGTACAGACCAGTTTGGCACTGGGAGCGACCCCCGCAGCCTTAACCCCTCCCCGGGGCTCCTGGGGGTCATTCCCAGTATGAACCAGTAAGGACCAGTTTGGCTTCAGGGTTGTCCTGAGCCACCAGAGCCCACTGGTGGACTGGGAATGCACCAGTATAAACCAGTTTGGCACTGGGAGGGACCTCACCCCACCCAGAGCACCCACAGGGCTCACAGGGGTCATTCCCAGTATGAACCAGTAAGGACCAGCTCGGCTTCGGGGTCATCCTGAGCCACCAGAGACCTCCGGTGCTCCCAGGCGTGGACTGGGAATGCACCAGTATAGACCAGTTTGGCACTGGGAGGAGATATCCCCACCCAGATCATCCCCACAGCTCCCCGGGGCTCCTGGGGGTCATTCCCAGTATAAACCAGTAAGGGCCAGCTCGGCTTCGGGGTCATCCTGAGCCACCAGGGACCTCCGGTGCTCCCAGGCGTGGACTGGGAATGCATCAGTACAGACCAGTTTGAAACTGGGAGTGACCTCACCCCACCCAGAGCAGCCACAGGGCTCACAGGGGTCATTCCCAGTATAAACCAGTAAGGCCCAGCTTGGCTTCGGGGTCATCCTGAGCCACCAGGGCCCGCCGGTGCTCCCAGGCGTGGACTGGGAATGCACCAGTACAGACCAGTTTGGCACTGGGAGCAACCCCCGCAGCCTTAACCCCTCCCTGGGGCTCCTGGGGGTCATTCCCAGTATGAACCAGTAAGGCCCAGCTCGGCTTCAGGGTTGTCCTGAGCCACCAGGGCTCACTGGTGGACTGGGAATGCACCAGTACAGACCAGTTTGGCACTGGGAGTGACCTCACCCCACCCAGAGCCACCCTGGGGCTCCTGGGGGTCATTCCCAGTATAAACCAGTAAGGCCCAGTTTGGCTTCGGGGTCGTCCTGAGCCACCAGAGACCTCCGGTGCTCCCAGGTGTGGACTGGGAATGCACCAGTACAGACCAGTTTGGAACTGGGAGCGACCCCCGCAGCCTTAACCCCTCTCCAGGACTCGTGGGGGTCATTCCCAGTATGAACCAGTAAGGACCAGTTTGGCTTCGGGGTCGTCCTGAGCCACCAGAGCCCACTGGTGGACTGGGAATGCACCAGTATAAACCAGTTTGGCACTGGGAGGGAGATATCCCAACCCAGAGCCACCCACAGGGCTCACAGGGGTCATTCCCAGTATAAACCAGTAAGGACCAGCTCGGCTTCGGGGTCATCCTGAGCCACCAGAGACTGCCGGTGCTCCCAGGCGTGGACTGGGAATGCACCAGTACAGACCAGTTTGGCACTGGGAGTGACCTCACCCCACCCAGATCGCACCCACAGGGCTCCTGGGGGTCATTCCCAGTATGAACCAGTAAGGCCCAGTTTGGCTTCGGGGTCATCCTGAGCCACCAGGGCCCACTGGTGCTCCCAGGCGTGGACTGGGAATGCACCAGTACAGACCAGTTTGGTACTGGGAGGGAGATATCCCCACCCAGAGCCACCACGCAGCTCCCCGGGGCTCCTGGGGGTCATTCCCAGTATAAACCAGTAAGGCCCAGTTTGGCTTCGGGGTCATCCTGAGCCACCAGGGCCCGCCGGTGCTCCCAGGCGTGGACTGGGAATGCACCAGTATAAACCAGTTTGGTACTGGGAGGGACCTCACCCCACCCAAACCCTCCCCGGGACTCCTGGGGGTCATTCCCAGTATGAACCAGTAAAGGGCAAGGCAGCTCCCAGTATATCCCAGTATGACCCAGTATAAACCAGTATATACCAGTATATCTCAGTGCAACCCAGTATATCCCACTATAACCCAGTCCAACCCCCCCAAACCCCCTCCCAGTGCCTCCCAGTATAAACCAGTAACCCCCAAACCACCTCCCAGCCCCTCCCAGTCCCTCCCAGTGCCCCCCAATCCCCTCCCAGTCCCTCCCAGTACAAACCAGTACAACCCAGTAGCATTCACAGTTACGGGGGTTGGCCCCCAGGCCCTCCCAGTCCCTCCCAGTATAACCCAGTCCAACCCAGCATAACCCAGTCCAACCCCCCCAATCCCCTCCCAGTCCTCCCAGTATAAACCAGTGACCTTCAAATCCCCACCCAGTCCCTGCCAGTGTCCCCCAGTCCTCCCCAGTCCCTCCCAGTATAAACCAGTAATCCCCAAACCGCCTCCCAGTGCCCCCCAATCCCCTCCCAGTCCTCTCCCAGTCCCTCCCAGTATAAACCAGTAACCCCCAAACCCCCTCCCAGTGCCCCTCAATCCCCTCCCAGTATAAACCAGTAACCCACAAACCAACTCCCAGCCACTCCCAGTGCCTCCCAGTCCCTCTCAGTGACCCCCAATCCCCTCCCAGTCCCTCCCAGTGCCCTCCAATCCCCTCCCAGTATAACCCAGTCCCTCCCAGTCCCCTCCCAGTGCCTCCCAATCCCCTCCCAGTCCCTCCCAGTACCTCCCAGTGCCCCCAATCCCCTCCCAGTCCCTCCCAGTGCCTCTCAGTGCCACCCAAGCCCCTCCCAGTCCCTCCCAGTACACCCAGTATGACTTACAGTTCCTGGGTCTGCCCCCAGTGCCTCCCAGTCCCTCCCAATCCCCTCCCAGCCCCTCCCAGTATAAACCAGTGTCCCCCAATCCTCCCAGTCCCTCCCAGTGCCCCCCAGTCTCTCCCAGTCCCTCCCAATCCCCTCCCAGTAACCCCCAATCTCCTCCCAGTGCCTCCCAGTGCCTCCCAATCCCCTCCCAGCCCCTCCCAGTGCTCCCCAGTGCCTCCCAGTCCCCTCCCAGTACCTCCCAGTCCCTCCCAGTGCCCCCAATCCCTCCCAATCCCCTCCCAGTCCCCTCCCAGTACCTCCCAGTCCCCCCAGTAACTCACAGTTCCTGGGGTCCGCCCCCAGCAGGCGCTCGCACAGCGCTCGGTCCTCCCGGCCAGCGGGGGGCGCCGCCGAGCGGCCCAGCAGCCACGCCCGGTGGTGCCACGCCCCGTAGGACTTGGGGTTCACCCCCAGGCACCCCCCAACGAAGGACAGCTCATCCTGCAGACCCTGGAAACCAGTATGGACCAGTATAGACCAGTATAAACCAGTATGGATCAATATAAACCAATACAGACCAATATAAATCACTATGGACCAGTATGGACCAGTATGGACTGGGGTTCATCCCCAGGCACCCCCCAACGAAGGACAGCTCATCCAGAACCCTGGAAACCAGTATGGACCAGTATGGACCAGTATGGACCAGTATAAACCAATATAGACCAATATAAATCACTATGGACCAGTATGGACCAGTATGGACTGGTGTTCACCCCAGGCACCCCCCAACAAAGGACAGCTCATCCGAGACCCTGGAAACCAGTATGGACCAGTATAGACCAGTATGGACCAGTATAGACCAGTATAAATCACTATGGACCAGTATGGACCAGTATGGACCAGTATGGACTAGGTATCCCCAGGCACCCCAGTATGGACCACCATGAACCAGTATGGACCAGTATAGACCAGTATGCATCAATATAAACCAACATAAATCACTATGGACCAGTATGAACCAGTATGGACTGGGGTTCATCCCCAGGCACCCCCCAACAAAGGACAGCTCATCCTGCAGCCTGGAAACCAGTATGGACCAGTATAGACCAGTATAAACCAGTATGGACCAGTATAAACCAGTATGCATCAATATAAACCAATATAAATCAGTATGGACCAGTATGGACCAGTATGGACCAGTATGGACTGGGGTTCACCCCCAGGCACCCCCCAACGAAGGACAGCTCGTCCTGCAGCCTGGAAACCAGTATGGACCAGTATAGCCAGTATGGACCAGTATAAACCAATATAGACCAATATAAATCACTATGGACCAGTATGGACCAGTATGGACTGGGGTGAACCCCCACGAAGGACAGCTCGTCCTGCACCCTGGAAACCAGTATGGACCAGTATAGACCAGTATGGACCAGTATAAACCAGTATAGACCAGTATGGACCAATATAAATCAATATGGACCAGTATGGACCAGTATGGACCAGTATAAACCAGTATGGACCAGTATGGATCAATATAAACCAATATAGACCAATATAAATCACTATGGACCAGTATGGACCGGTATGGACTGGGGTTCACCCCCAGGCACCCCCCAACGAAGGACAGCTCATCCTGCAGCCTGGAAACCAGTATGGACCAGTATGGACCAGTATAAACCAGTATGGACCAGCATGGATCAATATAGACCAGTATAAATCACTATGGACCAGTATGGACCGGTATGGACCAGTATAGACCAGTATGGACTGGGGTTCACCCCAGGCACCCCCCAACAAAGGACAGCTCATCCGGGACCCTGGAAACCAGTATGGACCAGTATAGACCAGTATAAACCAGTATGGACCAGTATAAACCAGTATGGATCAATATAAACCAATATAAATCACTATGGACCAGTATGGACCAGTATGGACCAGTATGGACCAGTATGGACCAGTATGGACTGGGGTGAACCCCCACGAAGGACAGCTCGTCCTGCCACCTGGAAACCAGTACGGACCAGTATGGACCAGTATAGACCAGTATGGATCAATACAAACCAATATAGACCAATATAAATCACTATGGACCAGTATGGACCAGTATAGACCAGTATGGACCAGTATAAACCAGTATAGACCAGTATAAACCAATATAGACCAGTATAAATCACTATGGACCAGTATGGACCAGTATAAACCAGTATAAACCAGTATAAACCAGTGTAAACCAGTATAGACCAGTACAAACCAGTATGGACCAGTATGGACCAGTAGGAACCAGTAAAGGCCAGTTCATCCCAGTCTCTTCCAGTCCCTCCCAGTTCATCCCAGTGCCCTCCCAGTTCAGACCAGTCCATACCAGTTCAAACCAGTTGAAACCAGTTTGTCCCAGTGCCCTCCCAGTTCAAACCAGTCCATCCCAGTGCCCTCCCAGTCCCTCCCAATTCAGTCCCAGTCCCTCCCAGTCCACACCAGTCCAAACCAGTTCATCCCAGTGTCCTCCCAGTTCACCCCAGTCCATCCCAGTGCCCTCCCAGTTCAAACTAGTTCACCCCAGTCCCCTCCCAGTCCCTCCCAGTATAACCCAATCCCTCCCAGTCCCTCCCAGTATAAACCAGTGCCCCCAATCCCCTCCCAGTCCCTCCCAGTTTATTCCAATCCCCTCCCAGTCCCTCCCAGTATAAACCAGTGACCTCCAATCCCCTCCCAGTCCCTCCCAGTCCATCCCAGTGCCCCCAATCCCCTCCCAGTCCCTCCCAGTCTCCCCCAGTCCCCTCCCAGTCCCTCCCAGTTTATCCCAATCCCCTCCCAGTCCCCTCCCAGTCCCTCCCAGTATAAACCAGTAACCTCCAAATCCCCTCCCAGTCCCTCCCAGTTTATCCCAATCCCTCCCAGTGCCCCCCCAATCCCCTCCCAGTCCCTCCCAGTTTATCCCAATCCTCCCAGTCCTCCCAGTCCCCTCCCAGTATAAACCAGTAACCCCAAACCCCTCCCAGTGCCTCCCAATCCTCCCAGTCCCTCCCAGTCCCTCCCAGTCCCTCCCAGTTTATCCCAATCCCCTCCCAGTTTATCCCAGTCCCTCCCAGTGCCCCCCAATCCCCTCCCAGTCCCTCCCAGTCCCTCCCAGTCCCCTCCCAGTCCCTCCCAGTTTATCCCAATCCCCTCCCAGTCCCTCCCAGTCCCTCCCAGTTTATCCCAGTACGCACCAGTCCCCTCCCAGTGTGAGCAGTGCTCGTCTCCGGCGGTTCCAGCAGGTGCCGACGTCGGGATTGGCCGCGAGCACCGACCCGGTCAGGGACAGCACCTGCTGGGGGGGCGCCCCCTGCAATCCCAGTATAAACCAGTTCAAACCAGTATAGACCAGTATAAACCAGTAACCCCCCAATTCATCCCAATCACCTCCCAGTCCATCCCAGTTCCCATCCCAGTCCCACTCAGGGACAGCACCTGCTGGGGGGGCGCCCCCTGCTGGGCATGGGGGGTGTTCCCAGTTCAAACCAGTATAGACCAGTAACACCCAATCATCTCCCAGTAACCCCCCAGTTCATCCCAGTAACCTCCCAGTCCATCCCAGTTCCCATCCCAGTCCCACTCAGGGACAGCACCTGCTGGGGGGGCGCCCCCTGCAATCCCAGTATAAACCAGTATAGCCCAGTATAAACCAGTATAGACCAGTAACCCCCCAGTTCATCCCAGTAACCTCCCAGTCCATCCCAGTTCCCATCCCAGTCCCACTCAGGGACAGCACCTGCTCGGGGGGCGCCCCCTGCTGGGCACGGGGGGTTCCCAGTATAAACCAGTATAGACCAGTATAAACCAGTAACCCCCAATCACCTCCCAGTTCATCCCAGTAACCCCCCAGTCCATCCCAGTTCCCATCCCAGTCCCACTCAGGGACAGCACCTGCTGGGGGGGCGCCCCCTGCAATCCCAGTATAAACCAGTTCATCCCAGTATACCCAGTATAGACCAGTGAACCAGTAACCAGTAATCATCCCAGTAACCCCCAATCATCTCCCAGTAACATCCCAATTCATCCCAGTTCCCATCCCAGTCCCACTCAGGGACAGCACCTGCTGGGGGGGCGCCCCCTGCAATCCCAGTATAAACCAGTTCATCCCAGTATAAACCAGTATAGACCAGTAACCCCCCAGTGCCTTCCCAGTAACCCCCAATCATCTCCCAGTAACATCCCAATTCATCCCAGTTCCCATCCCAGTCCCACTCAGGGACAGCACCTGCTCGGGGGGCGCCCCCTGCTGGACACGGGGGTACTCCCAGTATAAACCAGTATAAACCAGTATGGACCAGTAACCCTTAATCACCTCCCAGTAACCCCCAATCATCTCCCAGTAACCCCCCAGTCCATCCCAGTTCCCATCCCAGTCCCACTCAGGGACAGCACCTGCTCGGGGGGCGCCCCCTGCTGGGCATGGGGGGTTCCCAGTATAAACCAGTATAGACCAGTATAAACCAGTATAGACCAGTAACACCCAATCATCTCCCAGTAACCCCCAATCACCTCCCAGTCCATCCCAGTTCCCATCCCAGTCCCACTCAGGGACAGCACCTGCTCGGGGGGCGCCCCCTGCTGGGCATGGGGGGTGTTCCCAGTTCATCCCAGTATAAACCAGTACCCCAGTAAGCCTCCCAGTTCATCCCAGTGGCCTCCCAGTCCATCAGTATAAACCAGTGACCCTCAAACTCCTCCCAGTGCCCCCAAATCCCTCCCAGTTCCCTCCCAGTCCCCTCCCAGTTCCTCCCAGTGACCTCCCAGTCCATCCCAGTACCTCAGTCCAGTGACCCCAATCCCTCCCAGTCCCTCCCAGTTTATCCCAGTCTCCTCCCAGTCCTCCCAGTTCCTCCCAGTTCCCTCCCAGTCCCTCCCAGTATAAACCAGTGACACCTCAAATCCTCCCAGTGCTCCCCAGTCCCTCCCAGTGACACCCAGTGACCTCCCAGTCCCTCCCAGTCCCTCCCAGTCCCTCCCAGTACAAACCAGTAACCCCCAAATCCCCTCCCAGTCCTCCCAGTGCCCCCAATCCTCCCAGTCCTCCCAGTCCCTCCCAGTCCTCAGTAAAACCAGTAACCCCCAGATCCCTCCCAGTCCTCCCAGTCTCCTCCCAGTCCCTCCCAGTGTCCCTCCAGTCCCTCCCCAGTTCCCAGTTCCCCCAATCCCTCCCAGTCCCTCCCAGTCCCTCCCAGTCCCTCCCAGTCCTCCCAGTCGCCTCCCAATCCCCAGAAACCTCCTTTAACTCCCTCCCAGTCCAAACCAGTCCAAACCAGTTTGTTCCAACCCCCTCCCAGTGCCTCCCAGTGCCCTCCCAGTGGCTCCCAGTATAACCAGTACCCCCAGTAAGGCCTCCATGCTCTCCCGGTACATTCCCAGTTTGAGCTCCCGCTGTCGCTGCCGGGCCTGGTCCGAGGGGCGGAGCTTGAGCCGCCCGTGCTGGGGAAACTGGTTAGACTGGGACATACTGGGAGGGACTGGGGGGGAGCTAGCACTGGGAGGGACTGGGAGGGGATTGGGATAAACTGGGAGGGACTGGGAGGGGACTGGGAGGGACTGGGGCTTACTGGTTTATACTGGGAGGGACTTGGAAGGGACTGGGAGGGGATTGGAATAAACTGGGAGGGACTGGGAGGGGATTTGAGGGCACTGGTTTATACTGGGAGGGACTGGGAGGGGATTGGGATAAACT